TTGCGTACCTCATACACGAGTCTACACTGGGCATTGCAACGCCAGGACAGTCAAAGACGTCAATTACTTCGGACTCCAGGATGAGTATGTGGTCAGCGGAAGCGACTCTGGCCACGTGTTCATCTGGGATCGCAAGACAGCGGAACTTGTAAACATCTTGGAGGGAGATGGAGAGGTGGTCAACGTCATTCAAGGTAAGGAGAAATGAGTACACAACCAAGATGATACAGGCTCTAACATGTTTAGGTCACCCCTACGAACCTACGATGGCGGTTTCCGGTATCGACCACACGATCAAAATCTTCTCTCCAGACGCGCAGCTCCAGCGTAACGCACGGAAAGGTGTCGGAGTGCATTCGTCCGATCCGGCTGCTTTCTCCAGTCTGAACTTCGGTCGTCGCCGTCGCAACCGCGCTGCCGAACCTGAGGCTGAAAGCGAGACTGCCGTCGATGCCCCTAGCGACAGTGACGATGAGGTTGCCCCCGGTGGACTCAGCAGTCGACGGAGGATGCACCAAGCTTATCAGATTACAAGTCAGAACGATATGGACCGGAAAGGCGGAAGAGACGATTACTTCATCAGTCAGGCTGTTTTCGCGCAATTGGCTCGGCATATTGCCCGTGGGCAGGGTGCTGGTGGTGGAGGTGATGAGGAAGGAGAGGGTGGTGGACCGGTTGTCATCACAGAAGAGAACTGCAATGTCATGTAGGCGAGACTGAACATCTGAACGACTTCATTATGCCTCTTGGCTTCCCAGCTACCAATCCAATTATATTGACGCAACCAAATGTCCTTGCGCCGCTTCAAGCTGACCCCTTTTGTCGAAGATTATGACTCGGACCCAATGCCGTAAGCGTTTATGAGGCCTTCTTCTGCGTGGCCTTGAGTGCCTTCTTCCGATTGCTCCTGATCATAACCACTGAGAGGAAGCTGCCGACGACCGTAGTGCCCAGGATGAGGAGGATGACGGGGATACGGATGGCCCAGACGCGTGGGAGGAAGAGGGAGTGCAGGATGTGGTCGTCGTCTACAAAGGGCTGTATAGAGTCAGTATGTGTATCAGAACGAAGTGATCATACAAAAGCATACCATGAACAGAGTCCAGACAGTGTAGTAGACGAAGATGGCAGTCGCTGCGATGAGCATGCTGAGGCCTACGAGGCGATCGGCCTGTGATGGTTGGTCAGTGCACAGCCTTGAATGCTACGCATGTGAGAGCATACCATTGTGAAGATTGGCGAAAGAGTGAACGAGTGTATTAGCTTAGAGTAATGGTGGTTACAATCACCTCGCTGGCCCTTCCCCCCAAAGTCGCGCCAAGCCAAGACCCCTGTCGGCGAAACCGCGGCCCGTTCGCCGCAACCTTCGATCGCCCAACCGCCTGTAAGCTAAACTTTTGCGAAGCGCGTCACTCTCCGCCTCAACACTCGCCATCCTCCACCTCCAACACGACCCACTGCGCGACGATGGAGGTCGCATCAGCCGTCCGTCTGCCCTCACCGGAGCCCGAGATCGACGCCCACGAGGTCCCGCGCAAACGCGAGCGCTCCCCATACGATGGACCGAGTGCTGGGCCATCAAAGCGAAGCAGGAGGGATGAAGAGGAGGACGACCGTCGCAATGGCGGTATTGGCCGTCGCCCGCCACCAAAGCCTACGACCAACGACCTTCCCGATGACGACTCCCGCTTGAAGCTGTTCCAGAATGCCTTCAGCGCGAACCGTAAGCTGCCCGTTGACGACTCAAAGACACGTGCTGGAGGCGCGTATATCCCCCCGGCGCGCCTGCGCGAGATGCAGAAGTCGATTACGGATAAGAGTAGCCCTGAGTTTCAGCGCATGGCGTGGGAGGCGCTCAAGAAGTCGATCCAGGGTTTGATCAACAAGACGAATACGGCGAATATCAAGATGATTGTGCCGGAGCTGTTCTCGGAGAACCTGGTGCGCGGACGTGGGCTGTTCTGCAGAGCTATTATGAAGGCGCAAGCGGCGAGTTTGCCTTTCACGCCTATCTATGCGGCTATGGTCTCTATCGTCAATACGAAGCTGCCTCAAGTTGGCGATCTGCTGGTTCGGCGCCTGATTGTGCAGTTCAGGAAGGGTTTCAGGAGGAACGACAAGGCCGTGGCGCTATCGAGCACCATGTTCCTGTCGCACCTCGTCAACACGCAAGTCGTCCACGAGATCTTGATCGCCGAGATCCTGCTCCTCTTGCTGAACAAGCCCTCCGACGACTCTGTTGAGATCGCCGTCGGTATCATGAAAGAGGTCGGCGCTTTCCTCGACGAGATGAAGCCTGCGATCGCGAATGCCATCTTCGACCAGATGCGCAACATCCTCCACGAAGCCGACATCGACAAGCGCACACAATACATGATCGAGGTTCTTTTCGAGGTCCGACGTACAAAGTACAAGGACAACCCGGTTATCAGGGAGGACTTGGACCTGGTAGAGGAGGAGGATCAGATCACCCACAACCACACGCTCGAGGGTGATTTGAAGGTCGAGGATGGTCTCAACCTCTTCAAGGTCGATCCCGACTACGAAGCGCACGAGGAAGAGTACGCGAAGATCAAGGCAGAGATCCTAGGCGAAGAGGAGGGTAGCGACGATGATGGATACACAGATGCGTCATCTGAGGATGAAGAGGACGAGGAAGTGAAGGCCATGGACGTCAAGGATCAGACCAACGCGGATCTCGTCAACCTGCGAAGAACGATCTATTTGACCATCAAGAGCAGCGGTGGCTTTGAGGAGTGCGTGCACAAACTCATGCGCATCAACCTGCCACATGGCTTGGAAAACGAGCTCACCACGATGATCGTCGAGTGCGCCAGCCAGGAGCGCACATACGAGAAGTTCTACGGCATGATTGGAGAGCGCTTCTGCAAGCTGAACAGGATGTGGACCGACCTTTTCGAGGAAGCCTTCGCGCACTACTACGAGACTATCCACCGCTTCGAAACGAACCGCCTTCGTATCATCGCACAGTTCTTCGCGCATCTGCTAGCATCCGACGGTATCGGCTGGCACGTCTTCCAGGTGGTCAAGATGACGGAAGAAGATACCACGTCTAGTTCGCGTATCTTCGTCAAGATCTTGTTCGAAGAGCTCCTAGCGTCTCTCGGGCAGAAGGTCGTTGTGGAGCGCTTCAAGGACCCCATGCTACAAGACAGCCTTACTGGACTCTTCCCCACCGATGCCGACGACCAGAGCAAGACCCGCTTCTCGATCAACTACTTCACCGCGATCGGTATGGGTGTGCTTACTGAAGGCATGCGCGACTGGCTCAAGAACGCTGCGCCCAAGCCGAAACCGCTGCCCGAACCAGAGAGCGACTCCGACGACGACCGCAGCGTTTCGTCAAGATCAAGCTACAGTTCGAGCAGCTACTCACGCTCCCGAAGCCCGGTTCGCAGAAGGCGCGACTCAAGATCGAGGTCCAGATCCGACTCCAGAGGACGATCATACACACGCAGCCCTACGCCAGCCCGCAAACGTGGAGCCCGTGGCAGAAGCGACTCTTACAGCTCCGCATCACGCTCTCGATCCCGCTCCCCAGCACCACGCAAACTCAAGAGCAAGCGCTCCTACTCAACCTCCCTCTCTCGATCCCGCTCCCCCGTGCCCAGGAGACGCGGCCGTAGCCCTTCATCCTCCCGATCCCGTTCTCCACCCCCGAAATCCAAGACAACACGACGAGGACGCAGCCCATCCGGCTCGCTATCCCGTTCTCCACCTCCGACACGCCGCCGGAAGTACACTACATCCCCCTCGCGTTCCCCATCCCCGCCACCGCGCCATCGTGGTCGTGACTCTAGCACTCCGCCGCCCAGGCGTAGACGTGGCTCGAGCAGTGCCCCGCCGTCAAAGGGGAAAGGAAAAGCGAGAGCGGATAGCGGTAGTCCACCTCCGCGTCGCACTCGCAGGAGGGATACTAGTTCCCCGCCGCCGCGGGAGAAGGCCAATAGCAAGGCGAGGGCGGATAGTGCTAGCCCGCCGCCGAGGATGAAAAGGGATGATAGTGGAAGTCCGGCACCGAGGGTGAAGAGGGATGGTAGTAGTCCGCCGCCGAGGAGACGGAGGGATTCGTAGGTGAAGTTGAAACGGACTTGACAGCATCGTGGGGTTATGGGAATTGGCGTTACATCGTTTGTGAAGACAGAGATTGAATGGAATGGTAGCATTGCGTTTTGTCTGAAAGCATAATCGCGATGATTGGGTGAGAGTGGTATGTGGGATAGTCTCAGCGTCAGTAGACATTTACATAGCTACATCAAAACAGGATATTACCTCACGATAAGAGCCTCTCCTTCCGCCTGTAATCGCATTTCTCGTCACTAGCTCAGCTCTTCCACACAAACCCCGAAACCCTTCAACTTCTCAATTCCTCACACCCTCAGATCAATCCCCAAGCCGAGAACTACGTTCAGGCCTCAACGCAGTACTTGCCGAAGTAAACACCATCAGCACAGCCGCGTAAGAAGCCGTACGGCTGCAGTCGCATGCATGGAAGCTGGACATCATATTGAACGGATCGACAGAGGCGCTGGCTTGCCGGATGTTCGTTGGTTGCTCTGCCGTGATCTCATACTTCGCGTTCACCGGTCATCGTGCTAGCGTCATTCCTATGGCATGTGGCTGGCGCTCATCGCTTACGTGCTTTGGAGGCGTCCAATTGGGTTTATACACAACACAACCGGTCGCAGAACGCTAGTGCTAAGAGGAGAAGGACCTTTCCAAGGTTCTGCTGTGCGACAAGAACGATCACACCTGATTATATTGAGCCGGTCGAGGTCGTAGTGACCGCTGCCTGCGCGAGTGAACCTACGTTTTACTTCCTGGGTGAAACTAGGTCGAATTTACTCTGTTTATGGTTCTGGAGGACATTCTACACCAGCGTTGAAGTTGCGACGTGATTGTTCGAGTACGGACTACCCAGGTGTCGTACTGTGACGTACCTTTGGAAGACGAGGAGGAAAGAACACACATCAGAAGTCATGCCGATCGTCAGCGTATACACTGTTAGTGACATCAGTCTCTTCTTGTTTATCGCGTTACGTAGTTGTCCAGATACTAACTGGCAATCAGGGTTTCAAGTTCCGAGTTAATGAAAGCGTTTACATCAAGAATACCACCACCCAAAGCCTTCGTGGGCCTTACCTAATTTCCGAAACTCACGATGGTCCGAAATACACGCTCGAAGATGTCAAAGGAGACTTGGCAGCAGGCGGAAAGAAGTTCGATGAACACGAGTTGGAGCACGCTGGCCTGGATTTTCATGAACACAAGCTGGAAATCAACAAACAAGAGTCAGAGACCACTGATCACGAGTCGGAAAGGATCCGCAAAGGAGAGTTGCAAATTGTCGAATCTGGTTTGACTCCCGCTGTAGAAGAGTTGGATTTCGATGAAACTGAGCCGCATCTTAAAGACCATATATCACCAAATACTTTGCGAGACGACGTCATAGACTCCCTTGGCGACATGAGCAGTCAGAAACAGCCACCAATGTCTGATGATATCGATCAAACTCAGGATAGAAGTGCGACCACGTCGGATACATCTATCCCTGGTAATTCGAGTGGTAGGATTCCCGCCGGAAATATTGCACACGTCGACAGTCAAGATATGTACTCAACGGCCTCCGTTAGAGAAGATACAGAGAAAGATCTCATCGAACGATTTACCCGTCGCTTGGTGGCCGATTTGACAAGCACAGCCATTCTTGAACGCGTAGCCAGTATTCCATTACCGGAACTCGAAGCCTTACTGAAAGCATTTGCGGGGCGACTTCACGAGGAGTCTACAGCTCCGTTTGGATGGAAAGCATCCGTAGATCTATGTCGGGAGAGCGGGTGAGTTCTGAGACCATGCCCAAAGTCGATAACTTACAATCTTCTCGGATAGTTACTAGTAATTCATGAGCTTACACATACTTTGCAGAACGATCATCAACGCTATTACATGGATCGAGCCTCTGATTAGAGATGAACCGAAGGAACCGTCAGCGGAAGAAGACTCACCGGAGGATACTCCGACACGTGATTCATTCTTCGAGGATCAAAGCAATGTCAGCGACGGGCCAGATGCCGCAGAACTATCGCGATTCGACCATGATCCAGGCGCGCAGGTAATCCCACCCGGCTCAAAGAGCTACAAAGAGTTCATATCGGAATCACAAGCGTATCGTTGGCTTCTTTTGAAGCTACAAACCGAAGCAGAAGTCCACTATCCCGGTCAACACACTAAATGTGATATCGGCCAAAAGATACTTAACGAATCTCTTCAATCGATGAGCAGTCAGAGACCAATGCCAGCCGTTCATATGAGTATTGTTGTCGATTGGGAGCTGGCAAATTACATCAAGTCGCTACACCTGTCGCTCTCTGAAGACATTTGGGATCATGTACTGTGTTTGACGGGGTCAGACAGTGATCTTCAAGCTGTCACTGTGGCCACATATCTACGTATGACATGGCCACTCACGGGTGAACGTCTGGGAGGTATGCTGCTGAAGCTCTTGCAATGCCAGTCAGATCGTGCATGCTCATGTATGTATTGCCTAAACTCCTGCGTCTCGTATACTGATGCAGGGCAGACGAACTCTCGTCCACACTCTTTGTTGAGTTTAATATCATTTCCACTGGTCACTGGCAAATATGGGTTCATGGCGGCCCATACACGGTGTCTGAGTTCGCAGAACAGATCGCATGGCTAGCAACCACGTTACGGCTGTCGCCAAAACAGGAAACACTGGTGGTGCTGTCACCGCAACTGTCGATCTTGCCAAGAGAAACACCAAACGAACAAGACATAAAGGAAGTTACGATATGGAGTGAGCTCGCGTTCAACATCAATGACAACGATAACACAGGCACTTCGAGTGAAGGCACTTGCTGGACTCAGTTGTTTACGAACCCTGTCTTGGTCAGCGGCTATCCTATCCTCCGAAAGTTTACACCAGCTGCTGGTCTTGAGACATCATTGGACATCATGGCGGGCCTTGTGAAAGCCCACCAGGTAGTTAGTCTCGAGAACAGAATTGTGATGAAAGGCTTCAGTTCATTAGTAGTTGCTTCTGCAATTGATGGCGCTTTCATACGGTGGCATGTTTTCACAAGCGGGAAACTCGGCGAACGCATATCTTATTTCGACCCTCGGGTAGAGAAGTCGGTTACAAACGAGGCTAACGTGCCTCTGATCAGCTCATTGAGTAGCTTTCGTCACATCATAGGATGGTGCTCAAAAGTGACAAGCTTTTGTGGTAAGTTGGGCGCCGGCGGTGCGGTTCATCTCCCAAAACGATTTTGACATTTGATTAGGACATCCTCAGGCTACGCTCGACGTTTTAGCATCTGGTTCCAATCCATCCCCTGCGCACAGCGTCATCGAACGTGGATACATTGAATTCGGTAATTATGTCATAGCCGGACTGAGCGGGCAATTCAATCAGCACGAGCCACCAGTGTCTTCTGGACGAATGTATGATTATCCTGAGCTACTTGATTGGGTTACTCAACAGTTTGTGGTGTTTTACGACGTAAAAGACCATCGGGCTTGGCTAGTAGACGGAGCTTCTGCACTACTCCACCTCGTGCGAATCTCTTTGTATCTAGACAAGACCGAACTCAAGCTCACACATGACTGGGTGTACGAGGAAGACAAGCTGAAAGAAGACTGAGAAAGCTGCAGTGGACGCGATGCAGCGATGTCAACACTGAAGAAGTGGAAAAACCGAGACTTGAACGTATACGTTAGAAACCAGACCTTCTACGAAGACGGCCAGCCTGTCAACGAGTTCTCTAAGTTCGGAAACAGAGTGGACAGGATAATACATACGCTTGAGCTTGTCATCGAACACCAAAACCGGGTGAAAGACGGGATAGAAGTCCCTCATACTGTCGATACTCGGAAAGGCATCGTGGGCTTCGATATCCGAGACATTATCAAATCCCATCGTAAGTTCCGCTCTCGCGTTGAGCGTATTAGCTCACCGGATAAGGGTTGGGTCGATCTTCTGCCTGCTTTAGGCATACTTACGATACTTGGGAATAATTTCGGAGACGTCCTATGCCCTTCCGATCCTGATGCATGTTGCTCTGCATGGCGATCTGTTCCTAAGGATCAGAATTATCTGGCGGCTTCCGTTTCAACGCTTGCACTGTTGCTAGAGCACCTACAGCAGTCGAGTCCTGAGTTGGGCATTGGAGAATTCACGTCCGAGCTTTCTTGGAGGTCACCTTGCAAGCCTTTCGAGTCTTGCCAGTGCATCAAGGGCAAGCACGTCGAAGGATCAGCTCATCACGACCCGGGCCAATACATTGTGTCCAGTTCGCGGTGGCATCAGATTAGGCTGAAAGAGGCGAAGCCTTGTGATGTTTCACTTTTGGAAGGAACCGGCGCTGTTGTATTCGCCAACATCACAAGTCTGGGTAGTCGCCCTAAAGCTCATAATGTAGAGGCGACTGCGAACGCTCCCCAAGAACCCTCGGCGGGCCTTGTGACGAACGGAAACCACCAGAGCTCACCAGACCCAGCTAGCCAGTCGACCACAGATCAATCGTTAGGCTCGACGGATCCAACAGAAACAAGCCTACAGGTTGCGGGCCCCGCATTGAACAGCGGCGATGAAAGCTTGCCAGTATCAGCTAGCCAGCCGGCCTCAGCTCAGTCATCGAGATCCATGAAACCAACGCAAGCAAGTATACGGAACGCAGGCTCAACCAGCTCTGGAGATCAGACTAGGACTCATAAAGACCAGGGTACATTCGCCAGGCTGAGAGAAAAGTGCAAGGGTAAATGGACACGAATAACGTTTGATCTGGCTCGAAAACGCGCAAACACCTGACCTAACTGACCATGGTTTCGGAACAAAAGACGCCAATGTTTGCCTCAAGGAGTCAGGATGGTTCTTGAAACCGTAAGGTGAAGTGAACGATGTCATGTAGCACAACATTAAAATCTCATAGTCGCTCTCTTCGAATAGTGGGGATCATGTTGAAAACGCTCGGCTCTTTGTGTTTGAAGTATCCGTTAGACAAGCGGTCTGGTCCGGGTCGTGTCGAAAATCTGCATTGTGTTGAGATTGCGGATGTTTCCGATGACGTAATTGCCGCCAGTAGGATGCGGTGTCTTCCTGATCACAGAAGCGTAAGGTCTGTGTACTGTCGCAGCTCAAAGATGATGTGAAATGTTAAGGTGATGCATGTGCGCGACAAAATCCAAAGGATGGCGGCCGGCGGTGTGGAGCGAAGTGAAGATGAAGCATCGCAATTGCTGTTTGTGGACGTGCAAAAAGGGGACTACCGACAGGGATTATCGATAGCGAGGCAACAACGATGCGGTTGTTCGGAACAACAAAGTCTTGCGACTTCAATCCTATTGCTCCTCTTTCAATGCGTCTCTTGCGATTGTCGCTCTCACATAATACGACACTTGTTTGCAGAAGCGTCAAAGGGCGACGCGCGCTCGTTGTAGACGTGACATCTCCGCAGTCGCGTCTTTGTCTCCATCACCCTCTGTTTACTCACTCCACCACGACTACAATCAGTGCGCTCCCACATATATGAGTCAAATATAACTGTGCACGCATTCGTTACTTGTCGACTTCGCGAACTTCACGTCGACGCCTTGTCAATCGAACGCGCTTACTCCGGCGACTCAACACCTTCGTAACTCAACGCCACCCGGATGGCCACCAAATACGACTCTGTAAAGTGCAAATCATGCGCTAGAGTCCTCGCTGTGGTATCAGCCACTGGGCTTGTACCTACGACCTCGCCTAATGCCTCCCATGCAGGATGCAGCACATGTCAGCGATTTGACTCTCTGTATGACGCGATTAGAGAAGCCGATACTGAATGGACTGTACTCGAAAACAAGCGCGACTCAATTAGTAAATCATTCGCGCGAGACAACCACAAGCGGGCTCATATGGAGTTCGATAACTGGTTGATGACCGTTGAAGCACCAGGACCAGCAAGAGACGCGCAAAATGAACACCCCGAGGACAAGGACCATGGAGGAGGGGACTTTATCAACGACGACAAACAAGATATAGCTGGTCCCAAGCGTCGAAGATCACACTCGCCTACTACCCAGCGGTCTGGAGAATCATCCGATACAGCACCACATGGACAGCAAGGCATGTCGCTGTCTCTCAGGCCATCGCCTAAACGATCGCACAGCTCATCAGCCTCGATATCACGCAAGCGACTCAAATTTTCCGATTCAGTCGAGTTCCATGAGAATTACAGGACCAGTGAGCAGTATCACCGACCGAGCGAAACGTACGCGCGAGGGAGAAATGCGCCGCCTGAGGGTTCCGAGTACATGGACACTAGTGGATCGGGTCTGACCTTCCTGAAGTTCACCGGTATGAAGAAAGTTGGCGCCAAATGGGTTGAGCTGAGCGAGGAAGAGCTTGCAAAGCAGAGCGAAAAAGCAAAGACTTGGGCACAGCTGCGGAAACTCGCAACTGCAGGGAAACCGCAAGCTGATACACCGGAGGCCGATGCAGAAGTAGAGGTGAGGCAGGATGACGATGCTCCTCAAGATGCTCGTGCAGCAAGACTTGCACGAAGAGCTAAGGGAACAAGCGCGGAATCAGTGCAAGCTCGGGGCACGACAAGTAGACGGGGCCGGGGCACCCTGCGAAAAGGGAAACAACCATCGCTTGTCAGTGCAGTGGATGATGTCCCAGAGACTGCGTGTGACTCTACCCTCGTCTCGAATACCACAACAACAACACATGGAAATGATCATCATTCGGACGGAGATCTAGGTCGGGTGGAGATCATCGCATCTGGAGACGACGGTCTGGAGCGAAGACATGACGCTGTTCCCAGAACAGAAACCACAGCGGCAATGTGCGCCGATCAAGTACGAGACCCAGCCACACCCCACGAGGAGCCCCACAAGGATATGCAAGTGATTAGCGAGGCAATGTGCCAGAGTATTGCAGCTCAGCCAAACACCGGTAGTGTGGAGTCTCAACCAACAGTCGTATCTGGATACGACCAATCGCAACTCGAGCCAAGGAAGAATGCCTTATGCACAGATCATGATGCACCGGAAATTGAGATACCTGAGGCGTCGTCTGGGTCTCGAGTTCTGCGACCGACCTCAGGTAACCTTGAGGATACCGGCATCGCAAGTACGCGAGACCTAGACCATCTCTCAGATGCTCGCCCCAATTCTGAGAAAATTCCGGTGCGAAAGGAGGATGCTGTGCGCGATGACCCTGGAGTGTCAACTCAAAACACGCCTACTGCTGCAGAGAAGGCTATCGCGACAGGAACATCTCTGCAACAGCCATCCGCGGAGCGTGAAGACCTCGTCACGGAGCTGAACACGTCTACATCAGCTGACAACAAGCTCCAAGTGCAGGGTCACTCCAATGTGGACATCGCTAGCGCCACGATACCGCAAGACCCTGATCGCCCTCCTGCAGCCAGAATGCCCACAGAAGAAGCGTAGATCCTCGCAGGGGGGCATGATCGACGAAGCTGGAGACGCTGCGAGTCAATATCTAGGTTAAAGATGCGTCCCACAGAAGGATCCAGCCTCTCTCGTGGCCGTAGAATAACAGAGTAGGGATGGCAGAGGTGGCCTCGTTTGAGCAGGGCCCTTATGTGGGTACTACAGCGTGATTAGCGGCGAGTCCGTGGCGGACACTTGCCGCCGGTCCACAGTTCGGCGTACATGCCGTGCCGCAAGCGCCGCAACTCTTGTGTATGATAGCAGTAATAATTGTCGGTCTGTATACGCCGATGCCTATGCGATTCCTCTGATGGTGTCCTCAAAATGCCATGTGTGTCTGTGCGTTGACCACACGAGAGCGATACTGGTACTGTCACTTGTACTTCCATGGAACAGGTGAGGGGGAGGAGCATCATCATGACTCCGCTCCATCGAATGGCTCCTCTAACGCAGCTTCTAACGCATCTTCTATTCCTTCTCGAATGCAGCTAGAGCGCTGGGCTAGAAAACAGCAAAGGACGAGCTAGGTTCTGTGCCCTTCCCGTGGGACCATTACGTCGCATTCGTCTCGAATGTCGCATTCAGGAACATGATGTATTCGAGGAAGACCCACCACCTATGGCCTCAGCTGCACCTCTACCTGACCCAAGCCTCATCCAGAAAACAATTCTCCTTCTCCCAGCGTACGGGATAACGCTATGCCTTTTCGTATCGTGGCGACAACAATTTTCCTCACCGATCAATGCGCAAGTGGAGCGATGACATGGCCCAAAGAAGAAGGATTGATTGCGGCGGAAGGGCCGTTCCAGCTCTGCCGGTGTGCGTAGCCGTAAAACGTACGACTTTTCTTCTTTGTGTATGCTGCGAGATTGCCGATACCCGGTGTTGGCTTAGATCTAAGGTATGGTGTTGATCAATGCTTGGTACTTCAGGCGGCAACTAGCCTTTTTGGGCAGTACATGGGCGGGCTATCACGATGTGGTGATGTGATGTTGTATGTTTTGCGACTGGGTTGAAGAATGAGATTGCGAGAATGATAGAAATTCTCGTAGGGACTTGGAACTGATAGCGAGAGTGAGATGTGAGAATGCGCATTGTTGCATCTTCTTGCGGCTTGAGCTCTGAAACCTTCTGCATCCTACTCTTGCTTGCTTTTTTTGGGTCAGATAACTCCTACGTCGAAGTGACGTTGAAGGCCTAGTCTTGGGGAGAGGACTTGAAGACAGAGATAGTACGAGGCTAGAAGCTGCTACGAAGTACCTAAATTGTGTTCGACAGACTTGAGTGTAGGATTAGGAGTAGAACCTCCTCTTCAGTTTCGGTGTAGCAGTTTTCGGATTCGGGTTCGCATACGTCTTCTCAGCCTTGCCCGCCTTGCTCTTGCCCTACCTAGATCTTCTCGAAGTATGGCAACACATACTGGACACGACACTATCCAACGCCTTCAAATCCAACCTCAACCCTTTGAGAACTTCTCTTGCTTCATGGGTGCGAAGCTCCAATAACCTTAAAGATCCCCATTCCGCCGAACGGCTCGTCGAACTTCGGCAGCGTCCAGCCGCTCGACCGCTGCCGCCTCGCAATATTTTCGGCATCGGCCTGAGACCGGCATATACCGTTATACCAGCTCAACGTCTTCATCATGGCGACAGGAACTGCGCTGCAGCCCAAGGATTGCAAAACGAAAGCTGCACGTGGGGAGCTGCGGAATTCCTTGCAGTGACGTCATGGGACCCCTCGCATCCATGGATGGATCTCACCAACGTCGACAGGGTTATCGTGTGACCGTCTCGTCAATACTTTCCAGGTATCAAGCGGCGCGATTTACCTTTGCACCCACATCCCACGTCTCAGATACCGGGGGAGGGGATGTTTTCCCTCGAGGGTGAAGATTGCCCCCCTCAAGGTTCGGTCTTACTAGAGTATGTCATGCATGCCCACGGTTGATTCCGTGACAACGGCGAAAACACTATGAGCCCGCGACATTCCACCCACTCCCCTACCCCGGCCCGGTTCCAAGCACATGTCAACAGGACAAAACATTTTTGGCTGACGCACGCACGGTCCTCCGGTTCCATCGTTCCGTCGGATAGATCTTTCCAACCAGCTAACTGGGATTCAGGGACCCGCCAATTTACTTACCGCGACCCCAAGATCAACACCCCTCATCAAATCATCGATTTGCGATGACATCGCCACCCCAGTCGCAGACTCAGACCGAGGTTGGCCGCTCTCTCTGCCAACAAGGTCGGCGATAACAGCTTGCGGTTGATACGAAACGACCTCAGCCTGCCCGCGAAGGTGTAATGGATATTGGCAGTCGGCTAAATCGGAAGCAGGTAGCCATTAGCGCGACAACGTGTTTCTCAACACCACCAGGGCAAGCGGGATGTGGAGGGGTGGCTGGTAAAGCTCAGACCGGCTACCGTGGCCGTCGTATCGCACGCTGTCGACAGCGCCCAGCGTTGCGGCGGTCAGTGAAAGCGAGAGCTGAGGCAAGATGCGACATGAACCGAGGCGCTCAACAGCATACTTTGATCCGCGTACACAGCCTCGTGTCTAGTTCTCAAAGGCCATTCGGTTTCCAGACTGCATTTTGAATTCGACTATCGGCAAATGCCTGCATGGGCCATCGAGATGCCGTGGGGGATTGCAAAAGCTGGTATCGGCGATGGATCGGCAGCAAGCATAGTGAGTACTCTGGAGCAAGTGCAACTATCAATTGCTTGGACAATGTCTTAGCTCGAGCCCAACCACGAGGTATGCACGTTGCCATGCATCAAACTATCTCGTGCATTCTTCCACATACGGCCTAACAGGGTGCTGAGACACCTTGCGCGAGCGTCTTGACCTACTGTTCCGTTGGCCGAGCTAGAGATTACTAGCGGATTGAAACTCCTGTCACACTTTGGAACGAAGTTTACGCAAGATTATTCGAGACATATCACAGGACTAGGATGCGATGGCTATTTCGGCTGTACAGAGGTCCGCAAACAATCATCTCAAAGCTCAAAGCAGTAGATCCATACGTCATAATCAGACCACAAATCTCACACCTACTTTACGCGTGTTGCGTTCCATCGCCCAACTCACGGCAAAACCCCGGAGCCGCAGGTGCTGGCCCCCAAAAGGGGAATCCGGTGATCCCTACACCATCAGCCTGCCCGCGCACTAACGAAATGCATGAAAACCTGCAGTAGCGTGCACTACGCGCCGTTAAGCCTCACTAACCTGCAGCAGGAAATCTTCGAGAAGCCCTTGTATCCTATCCTTCGCTTATCCATGGTTTTCATGGCTACGCCATCGTGCATAGTGGGAGCGGTGTCTTGCTTGCATGTGCATAGGTGCCGTAGCTGCAGCTTTAAGATTAGGAGACCTGGGAGACGCAGCCACCGTCCGGTCAGGTCAAACATCGACCAGCTAGCGTAGTCACAGCGTTGCGGTGTACAAGATGCATAATCTTCACGCTGTAAACGCGCCGTGGGACGCCCACAGTGCTCGTCGGCCATACTTTACACAGCGAAGGATTCAAGGTGCATGAGAGTGATGTCATGGAGGCAGTTCCCGCTCGCCAGCCAGCAAACGCGTGCATATTCAAGGCGTGGAGTTATTGTGCATCATCAGACTACCAAGCATCCTCCACAAAAGCACCCCGCCAAGACACCGAGCAGGGATACCCTGATGCTAAAGCCCCGACTCGTTACGAGGCACGCACGCACCTCGTCTGTTCCCGTCCCAGGCGTTTCCTCTAGGGACCAAACTCTAAACCACGTTTCTCTATTCGCCGAGAGAATATCACCAGAGAACGCGTCCGAAGCGATCAGCGACGCCTGCCACCAACCTCACAATTACGTGTCTTGTGACAGCAACCGCATCACGGATTGCCTAACAAGGTGACGGATAAGGTGACCTGTGATATAACGATCTTCGTTGCGCCGAAGCACCGCCACATAGGACCGCGGGCAAAGTCTCCGATTAGCAAATTGGAGCACAACAACCATGGGTGTCTCAGACATTGCCAAGGTATAGCACGCATGTATTCAGGCGTGCGTCATACATCGCCAATCCATGCTCGAGCAAATTGGGCCGCCGTGATTGCAAAGAAGTAGGCCAATATATGCAGGGCTCTCGATTGTGTCTCGCGCGTAAGTAGCCATCCGGTCGCGAACCGGATCCGCACTGGCGGCGAAGGCGGAAAAGTGGGGGTTCAGATGAGACTTGCGCTCGTGGTCAAACACCGACCGGTGTAGCAGCGTTTGCTAGACAACCACAAGTCTGTCTTCTGGAAGGAAAACTCGTGCGTATAGTTGAAAGTGGAGGAGCTAGAATCGTAGTTTACAAAGTGGGTATGGGGTACGGATCAAGCTACCCGGGTAGAACGGCACAGGCGGTAGCGGTCAAAGGGTTCAGCTTCGAAATGATGTTGTCATGTTGTTTGGTGCATCGTGACTATAGGGTAGGGTTGAGCGAGTTTGCAGGTCACACGTGCAGACAAGATACGTGGGCAAGTAAATTGGTGTAGAGCCTGATAAGCTTCTGTGGTGATTTTGTATATGTGTTATCTAGATTGGAAGGGGCTAATACCGCAATCCTGATTTCTTCTAGCTATCTAACCTTCTTTCTACACGTCTCTTGAGTAATCTGAAGCTTGCAGCCCGTGCGGTCGCATTGCAGCAGACCGTCCGATCATCGGCGCTGCGCTCAAAGAGGCCTGGCAACATGTGTCGGCTTGGAATGACAGTTCGTGTTGCTCTAGTCTTCCGATAGTTCCCGCACCATGGACAAGGGCCAGGCGCACGCTAGTGGCTCCTCGTAGCAGGTACTCTGCATCCCAGACTAAGCTGTCGGGAGGTACCTAGACTCATGGCTGAAGCTGACAGCAGGCTGGCGGCGGGCTTGCTAAGGGCCCAGGGGACAAAGTTTGTGGCTGGTTGGATGCCTCCAAGTGGAGTGCTCATGGTACCAGGCCCTCTGATTCTTCGCCTTGCCACTGCTCG